CAAAGATGTCAGTAGAAGGAGGAGAAAATGAACCTACAATTAGGAAACGAGCATCCTCAAAACGACTATTACCCAAATCATATTTCACCATAACCACATCCACCTTCAAACACCCAACAATTTGGACACCTCCTTCACGAGCTCCACCATCTTCATCTTCCACTACCATCTCTCTGTGTTTTGAGAACTATCTATATCTACCCTTCCCACCCAAAATTAGACATGTAATAGTGTTTTATTATGATTCTGTAAATCTCTCTTTCTGTTGGGTCTTTTTCCCTCGTGTTCTCTCCTGCTATTACTGCTGCCTTCTGTTGCTGCTATCTACTGCCAACCTCTTTGAGATCAAGATGCTCTCTCTATAATTTTTTTCCCAAATTTTGAGTAGTTTTTTTTTTTTGTTTCGTTTTTTTTTTTGCCGTCTCCGTCGTTTCTCTCTCTAATCTTTGTTCTCACTCTAAACTGTCTAATACCGCATTTGAAAAACCACCTCAGAAAACTGCTTAAAGAAAAGAAAAAAAATGAAAAACCACCAGATTTTAAAACCATCTACTGTTGCTTATCAAAAAAAATAAAAAAGTCTGAAACACCCTAAAAACCGTGAGATCTGAATTGCTCTAGAATTTCACCCCACCACTTTGATCTGATATTATTTTTTACCATCTGAAACCCTTATGAAAAACCAGTCCCAAAAAACAAAACCCCTCTGAAAATTTGTTGTATGATCAAGTTCGTTGCCCGGTTACTTGATCGTGTATGTTATGGTCAGTGAGTTCCTGAATCCGTTTCGGATCTACACTGAGTTCTGTTGGCTCTTCCAAGTGTCATTATGTTCTCTCAGTTGTCTCGACTGCTTTGTCTGGAATTTTCTGTCTGATTGATCGAGCCTACTCTGATATGGCTCTCAGTTCCTGAAACCGTTCTCGAGGTTTGTTGAACTGACGATGCTTTCTGTACTTATTGATCAAGCAAGTTGCGCATGGCAACAACTACATCTATTGGTCATGCTATACATTTAAAGATCTAACTGCTCGTTTCCACAATTAGTATTCAAACTCCAGCTGCTCTTTCATATCATCTTGAGTTTGAAGGGGAGTGTAAAAAAAGGTATATATTGTATATCCAGTTAATATAAAATGTGTATATTATAATTTTTATATTTGGGACGGGTAAATACACTATCTTGTATTTATAGTAAGTCTAGTTATAGTATAGGACTCTGTAATTTATTTATATATTTTTTCATTTGTAATTTATAGACAAGTATGTATATTTATATGATCAATGGACACTGAGTGGCTTTGGATAAACTTGAGACTCAACAGAGTATTTTCCATCTAGTTTCATTTGTTACAATGGGAGAGAAAGAGCTTGAAAAATGGAAATGTGATAAGTGAAATATATTAAAATAAAGTATATTTTGAGACCTACTTTTACACAAGTAAAAAATGACCCAAAAACATAATTTTTAATATGTCGTGCCTTTTAAATAAAAAATTGAACGTCAGAATTCCAGTAGGAATAAATTCGTAAATTTTATAATTTCCATGTGATTTTGACTTTTTTAATTCATGTACGAAACTTAATCAGTTGGAGATAACAAAATCTTTGAACTGCTAAACAACATACTAATTATAAAATTTGTTAAATTGTAATTTTGGTTATCACAATATTTCAGATCAGAGACAATTATTAAAGAACAAACACTTTCTAATCATTAACTATTGATTAAAGTTCAAATTTAACATTTTATCAATGGCACTCACTTTCATAATTAATGCTTTTGATAACAAAGAACACAGGTGGCATGCACTGAGTCACAACTAATTTGAACACTTAAAAGTGCAAAATAAATAATTATAATGCTTTGAAAAAACGTCGATACAAATCGGAATCACCCGTTTCAAATCGATTTCCGGCAGCTAGTTCTTTGGGAGAACATGGCGGTTCTGTTAGCGAGATGGCCAATCCAACCTTAAATTTTTTTTTTTATTTTTCAATTTTTTTCTTGATATTATTTTATTATTCGATTCTCTCTATTGGATCATCGATCCAATTGACGTTTTGTCAAAACTGACCGGTTTCTTGGATGGTCGTTTCACCTTGTGGGTCAAGGTTTTTAAACAGTGGATAATTGAAAAGGTCGAATATAGGCCTTTTATAATTAAAAATTATAATATAGATTTAAATTAGTTTATTAATTATTGTTATTTATTGATTCTACATTTATAACTAGATTTGTAACTATAATTTCAATCACCTTTATTTATTGGATAGATTTCAAACAATTTGAGTTTTTAAAATTATAATTTATATCTTTTAAAATAAATATTAAAAAATAACATACAATCTATCTATTGTCTTTATTATGTATAAAGCACTTCATACTTCATGCAACATGTGTCATTTAAGAACGCTTGTAGGTTTGAATCATAGTTACCAAGTCTACCATGTCGTCGTTAAAAACATGACTTAAAAAAAAAAGGTCGTCTTATTCTAATACGTTTCAAACTTCATTATTTCGGAAACAATTGGGGGAAAAAAATGCATAATTCTGATAAAAATGCTAGAAATCTTTTTTATACGACTTCTGTTTTTTTTTAAAAAAAAGTCAAAATAAAAATCACCTTTTTTGCATCCAAATCGCCCCCTTTTCTTTTTTGTTTTTTTCAAAGTTCTATATCTTTATCTTTCTATTTTAAAGAAAAACATTTTAACAAAATTTCTCTAATTTATGGTCATGACCAATCTACAGGTCAATTGATTTTTACTGTTTTGAGTTTCAGTCAATCCAACATCGTTTACATGTGTTAGCAATAATTTGCATGTTATTTCAGTATTTATTTACATATTAGCAACCATTTACATGCTAGCGGTCATTTTTAGAGTCTTTGTTTACATGTTAGCAACCGTTTACATGCTAGCGATTTCGGCCATCCAATCTAAATGGATAAACATATATTATAATTTATTGCTCAATCTCGCTTTATCTCTAATTTTTAAAATATTTTTTAAAACCTAATAGGTTCATTATTTGATATTTTACTCATAAAATTAAATTAACAAAAAGAGTATTTTACATTAATACCCCCTTATTAAACATTATATTTATAAATTTGGTTTTACATTCATTCTCCTCTTTTTCAAATTTTTATTTTATTTTATTTGTCAATGAACTTTTATTCGGACTTTCAAGAAGATCTAAAGTTTACCCTTTACTAGAGCAACATTGGATCTCAAGATCTTGAAGGTTTTTTCGTACAAAGCTCAAATATTAAAGGAGCACAGTTGCTCTAAAGATGGACTACTATTCAACTTTTGACTTTTAAGATCTAAAGTTGCTCCTATAAAGATAGACGGTATGAAGTAATAAAAAAAAAATAAAAAAAAAGGGCATAAAACATAAAAATAAACCTTTTTCTTTTTTGTAGGGATATCCACGTAGATTTCTCAAAAGTTCCATTCAAATACACATGAAGATTATATTCCTGCGTTACCAACAAGTAGAGTAACATGCGACGTGTGATCACCTTCCTAAAAAAACTTTTACATCTAATTTTGCTATAGTGTAAAAAGTGGAAACATGTCCATCTCCCAAGTGCATAAATTTTTTACAAATTTGCTATTCAAATTAGCTTTATCTCATTAATTTTGGAAAATGATGAGATTTTTTTCTTTATATCAAAATATATAATGATATTCATGGGTTGGGTTAGGTACTCACCCAACCAGGGGTGCCAATGGACCCGAACCCGACCCGGGTATGGTATGGGCCCAGAAATTAGACCCAGCAAGTCAGATCTGGGTCCATGTGGACCCAACATGAATGGTGCTATTATTTAAATAATATTTAATATATAATATTTTAATAATACTTAATTAATATTTAAATAAATATAATTATATGTTTTAGTTATATTATTTAAATAAGGAAATCATTTATATAGAGTTGAGGCTCTAAACAATCAAATTAAAACCTACATCAAAAAATTCACTAGAAGAGGTTGTTTTTATGCCCAAATATCCTCAAATTGATCATCTCGACATCAAGATGCATGGACATGAAAAAAAAATGGATTTCAAGCTTTGGAAATAGTGCATCTTGTAATGCATTTTTGGACTGTCAATTTTCAAGATTTTCAAGTTTTCATAAATGTACTTGATCTACACTGTTTTTAAAGCTCTAAATTTTATTATTAAAGATAAAAAGATATTTTAAGGCTATCACAAAAATTTTCAATATTGAAACCATATTTCTCGATACTATTTGAAGGTGGGCTCTATTTTGATTGTTTAGAGCCTCAGCTTTATACAGACCATACCCTTTAATTAAAGGAAAAGTTTATATAGAGCTGAAGCTTTAAACAATCAAATTAGAGCCTACCTCAAAAATTTAACTTGAAGAGGTTTTGATGCCCAAATATCATCAAATTGATCATCTCGACATTAAGATAACATATATTTAAATATATATTTTTTATTTTTAGACCTTATCCAATTGGGTCCCATAACTTTTTTTGGGTCCATGTTCGGGTCGGACCCCAACCCGACCTGTTGCCACCCCCACCCAACCCAAGAAGGTCCAAGTTGGACTGGACATGGACCCAACCCGTCAAGTCCATAGGTGGGACCAATCGCACATTCCCAGTCAATCTGCCTGTCATGCAGGTGCGCCCAACCCCTTTGACACCTACCGGCCATGAACAGGTTCAGCAAGCAAACGTGGGTTCCTATGAAACAATTACATTAAAAAATATATATATACATGAAAGAACTTCCCCATATCAGGTGGTATGAATGTTATTTTAAACCATTTGGTCCATTTTTATGGTGAACTTTTTTGCAGTGGATCAATTGGCGCGAAAAAACATCCATACCCACTGACATGTGGCGGTTCTTTCGTGTGAAAAAAATTTCCCACATTTTTTTCATATAAACCAAATGTGACCTTCATGTATTTTTTTAACCACCATTCTCCAATAATGCAAGAAACTGGGAGAAATACTCAGAAAAAGAAAACCCCATTTCTTGATATCCTCAAAATTCTACAAATAGATTAGTTTTACATAATGTATTCTCAAAAAGCTCCTTAAATGAATGAAACATGAGATCTCTTTTCATATCTTTTTCTTCCCTATTCTCTTTTCTGTGCTCCATGCTTTCAGCAAAAAGAATTAATATCACAGTGAGGCAGGAGACGCATATGAAATATATGCAGGGATATCAACCGCCGCAACTCGAATGCAAGTCTCAACGAATCGGGAGTGCCTCAATTTCCCGTACAATCATGGATGCCGAGCTTCATTTTGTTGCGGATCTAACTCCATTTTCTTAAAATTGTCAAGAATTATGTTACAATTGTTCATGGTACGAGCATCAAGGAGACAATGGTTCCATAGCTTCATCATAAATAACCTCCAACACCTGCACCACCTCCGACACAAGCAAGTTCAACTCTTGTAGTTAGCTAATTAAGGGCTGGGTTGGCTCCCCTAGAGAAAAAATTCCTGAAAATGATTAAATCCTAGAAACTGGAAGATTCAAATCCAAGATTTGAAACTACCAGGCTTGGTGCAGTAACCTTCTCTCAAAAAAATAAAAAACCATATTTGGTGAGCAGATAAAGCCGTAGAAATATATTTTCAGGGTTCGATTTACCTGTTTAAATCCTTGAAACTGGAAGATTCAAATCCAAGATTTGAAACTACCAGGCTTGGCACAGTAACCTTCTCTCAAAAAAAAAAAAACCATATTTGGTGAGCAGATAAAACCGTAGAAATATATTTTCAGGGTTCAATTCACCTGTTTGTAAAACTTGGATTTACCTGTTTGTAATTTATTGTCTTCCTCAGTCATGTTGTTTTATAATTAAAAAATCAAGATTTGCCTTTTTGTAATAGACTCACTCGTGTTCTTTTATATGAAATTAAACAAAAAAAAAATTGCTCCATAGATACCCATGTTAATCATCAGTAGTGCTTTTGTTTCAATTAATCATCCTCATTCTTCAAAAAAAATGTTTCATAGACTCGTCCATGTTACAAAGATCATCATCCATTTCCAAAATCAATGCAGATAAGATGATCTTTGAAGAATTAAAAGGAAAGTACAAATTAGACCCTTTTTAAGGCTCATACTTCTTTTTTTTTTTTCTTTATCAGATACATGATCATGGTGGTCTAGTTAATGAACCTGCAAAATTTTGGAAGTGGACATGGCTTTTAGGAGAGTGGATACAATGTAATGGGTGCATCCCAGGATACACCTAAACACTATCCATTAACTAATGGAAAAAGTTTATAATATGTAAGGTGTGAACCTTAAGGCACGTCAAAAACCTATTAAAAAAAGTTGTTTTGATGCTACAAAATTCTCCAATTGATCATCTCGATCTCAAGATGTTTGGACATGGAGGGAAAAGAAAGCAACAAGATTTCAAGTCCAAAAAATGATGCATACTATAAAATATTACTTGAACCATCTATTTTCAATATTTTCTAAGTGTTTATAAATCTGCTCAATCGAAACCATTTTTGGAGTTTTAAATTTCACAATTAGAGGTAAAAGTAAAATTTTAGGCCATCGTAGGAATTTCTGGCACCAAAATTACATCTTTCAACAAGGTTAAGAGGTGCGCTTACTTTGCTTGTTGAAGGTTGATGCCTTATATAAACCAAACCCTTAACCAATAAGATAGCATTACTAATGGTGATGTTTGTTTGACATACTACAACATCAGGGGTTTGTAGTCATTGCATAAAGCAAGAAAGTTAAGACATAACATTGTAGGGACCATGATAGTGAATATAATTCCCAAAGAAATAATCATTTTTGGTAGGTAATAATTAGTGCAAATAATGTTTAAATAGGGGAATGAACTTGAGAATGAGTCGAAGAGCAAAGTGACATACCAAATCAATGCTGGTGCACGTACAAGGTCGCAACCATGTAGCTTTGAAAATGCTTCACATGCCCATGGAATGTGACCGTCTGCTAACACCCTATCGAAAAGAAAACAATAAAAAAACCAAAAAGAAGACATGTTTGAGTTTAAGGATGGATTCTAGGGAAATAAAATAAAATAATAATTAGCATCTAAAATCAGAAGGGTTTCTAATCCCTCTGGCCTTTTTTTTCTCTCAAGTAAATTTCGCAGATAAATCATAAATCTCATCATCTTATTATGTAAAATTTTCATGCTCTTTGATTTATTTTCAATTAGAAGAGATCTGGCGAAAATGGACAAAATGACATCAAAGAATTAAAAACAAATTATGAATAATCACTGTGACAAAGTTTAAAGAGAAAAGCTACCTTTGCTTCCTCACAAATGAATTCCACAGATGCATGATCTGCTTCTCATCCTTGGTTACATCCACAAAGTCATCAAGCATCTGCAGCACAGATTGGTGATAAGAAATTTTAAAACTTAAAATTTTATATAATAAATTTTAAAAGAAAAAAGAAGAAGGAGATAAATTTTTCTTAAACTTTAATATGTAAGTTTCCATCACTTGCATATGTTACTTAAATTTTTCTTGAAGCTTTCAAAAAAGAATCTCCTCGGTATGATGATACTTCTTGTAAAATTTTCAAGAAAATGATACTTGTGACCATGTGAGGTTTTGCTTACCCTACGGTCTTCGAAATCAGCAATGTCATCGTCAACTTCATCCTCACTATCCCGATCAGAAAATACTTGCTCCAATGCCATTGGCTTCACAGTGCAAATAACCAAATTATGAATTTGAAATACAACACATTAATTCATCAACTAAAAAAAAAAAAAAGCCAAATTGATTCCATCAAATAAGCAAGCATTTAGAACAAAAGGAAAAAGTAAAAAAGCATCCACACCATTAATAACCCATTTTTCCAAGTCGTGTTCAGATCATCAATCCAATAGCATCCAGTAAATTAAGCCATCAGGAATAAGCAAACAAAATAACATTCCATCCTGCAGGCATTAGGAATAAATGCAGATCTAGAAAACCGTCATCATACAAAAATCCCATATTTTTTAACCATTATGGACCTTGAATCATGAAAAGTAAACAAAAAAAGTCACCTCCAATTTTTAAATCTAGAAAAAAAAAGACACAAGACGATTATGACCGATGAAAATTTTCTAAAGTTTTTTTTATTCATTCCATAAGCACCGATCAAAAGTACTATTCACGGGTACTGTTCATAAGGGCAAAATTGTCGTATAAATTTTAAGTTTAAGTTAGGATATATAGGTCAATACATTATTTCTTTGGACACTTTATGTACTTGAAACATTTGCTAAAATATATAAGGTGTGTGTAGGCCTTGAGAGGGTCAATTCCACATGATTTTTAGAAATTAAAAAAAAGAGAAAAGCTTCGGCTCTTGGAACCCTAGTTTGGGGTTTGGAGAAGAAACCCTAGGTTTTTTCGATTTGTGCTTGTGCTTGGCTTGCTTATTGCTGATTTTCTATGTTTCTTTAAGTTCTCCTACATAAAAAATCCAGCAGATCCTCCCCCCCCCCCTCCCACAGGACAGGGGCACACACTCACATGCACAATGATTACATCTAAGACAAAGACAAACAACTGTGACTAATGAATCCAGCAGATTCTCTCCCCCCCCTGGGGGCCGGGGCACACACGCACACACACAATGATTACATCTAAGACACAGATGAACAACTGTAATCTATTCACAAAGTTAAGGGTTGAAGGAATGCAAATTGGAAAGAAGCTTTGAATATCACCTGTGCTCTATGCGAATGAAAGAACTGGCGCTTTTGGAGGAGTGCACGGCTGGAAATAACCAAAATTTTCCATGTAAAAAATGACCAGGAAAGTAAAACACCAAACACGGCGAGATGCTAAATATTTTACAGGTCAAAACACAAGTAAGGGTATCCAAAGACTGCCATAAAACGAACTCAGAACAGTAACTTCTCCGAAAGAGAAAAACAGGAAGACCATTCTGCTTTTTTTTCAAAGAACTGAGAGTGAGTCAGAGATGTTAGAAGGAAATCTTACGATGCAAGAATGAGTATTATAAGCAGCTCAAAATGAAAGGTAGAAAATCTCAATATATTCATGTTGATCAACTCACTTTTTAGGGTCCATTCTTTCAGCTGAGAGCTTCCTCACTTTTGCACATTGAGGAGCAAGGTTGCTTCCATTCCCAGGAAGAGCACACTCACTGCCAAGAGAAGCCTGAGCTTTAGCAGCACAAACGCCCATTACATCGGAGCTTGACATAACTGGTTCTCCACACTCTCCAGTGAAGCCATTCTCCACTCCAGCGCTTTGGGAATTATGTCCGCAATGGTCCAAATTCTTCTCTTTACTAGGTTCTTTAAGAGGCCTCTTTCCTCCTTTCTTAGAGTCTGCATTCGAACCAAGCATTTGATTGTTACTCTTAAGAAACCTGTGGAAAAACGATTGGAACTTTTTTGTTCGATTGATAACAAATGGATCTACGATGCGTTCATTTTCTATTTACAAATGATAGTAGTGAGTTGGCTTGGAATCATTATAATAGCAATGGGATCCTTTGTTTGGAAAGTCAAAACATTATGGATTTCTTGGAACCATTCTACTGAACTTTGACTTCCTATTTGGAAGGAAAATTGTCAAGATTCTGCGAATCAATCTACGAATTTATGGATCACAGACAAATCTTTCAAGAGGAAATTCATATGTTAGTCTAAAAGTGTTGATACAAAAAACTAGAAAAATAATGTTGATGTCTTTTCAAGAAATAATAGTTGGATTTTGGGAACGTTTAATGATGTTGACCTCTTTGCTTTGGAAGGTGATAAGATTCTTTGGAACAGTTCCACTAATTTACATACTCTTGCTGGATCTTTCTAGAGAGGACTGATTTGCTGGAGTTTCAATGGCCATTTGGCAAGAACTTGTGGATGCATCCTTTTCCAAGCAATCTGGACGGGCTATTTCAGGGGAGTCTGACTTCACCGCTTCAACGTGTTTCACATTGTCATCAATGTACTTGTATTTTCTATGGCGCCTTTGCTTAGAGCTATAAAAAAGTAAAGAAAGAGATACAAATTACTAACAAATAAAGTGTGTAAAGAGCCCATAGTAATAAAATCTAATTAGTATTACTAGTAATTAGGAGTGAATGACTGAAAATGCCAGCCACTACCAGAAGTAGAATGTTTGGAGCTTCGGGTCAACACCATCTGTAACTGCCTACAAAAGAATTAATGAAGCATCAGGAAATGCCTAAGGGCTCTTCTAAATATTACTTGGGAATATAATCCGAATATCACTAGGAAATATAAGATATAACAGTTAATAATACTCCGACACAACCATCAATAACCGTAATTCCAGTTATGAGCCATCAAGTATTACAATTCAAACCATAAACAAATAAGTGCCAAAAACTACTTATTCCACATTCAAGTACTTCAAGTTGCATTTAACTAATAATGGCTTCTAAAAGAAAGATAAGGAGCCATAACCGGTTCATTATAGAAGGATCTAAAAAAATTTAACCACATAAATAAGTTTCAAATGTGATTAGCTCACACCTCAGATCTACAACTGTCACTTCTGACAGAAACATTTACTGCCTGATACTCCTCAGTGACCTGAAGAAAGAAAAAAAAATAAAACATTACCTCAACATGTGTCACACAAAAGACCAACCTCACCTAAAGATAGTTATGGATTGATTTTGAGTTTACTGACCCAAAATTCAAAATTGAATAAGTCATGGGATGAGCTCAAATGATAGCGCAAACCCTGCAAATAAAACAGGCAGCTATTTTAAAACAAAAGAATTGAATCCACGCTATAGGAAAAGCTTTCACGCTGAGGTAAAGTATACCATGATCCAATTGAATATAGAAAAATCATAGTAAGTTTGGCCATCACCATCCATTGAAATGATGGACAGCAATGGATAGTGAATGGAATTCACCAGAACAAACATGATACCATCACAGTCAATCATCTCAATGGATGGTAGATAACTCAATGGACTAGGGGTTTTCCATAGTCCATTAGATTTTCATATACATTCTCTTCTAGAAACTCAGTAATAAGACATAGGGCAATGGTGAAACAAGAGGGGCTTTAAAACCCAACCTTAAAGCTCGCACATCGCACCAAGCAAAATGGGCATGAGAAGTCTTCTGTAACTGGCCAGTGCAGAAGAGAAAAAAGAAAAAAGAAAAAAAAAAGAAGAAGGTAAACTGGAAGATTCAGAAGTAGGACACGTTCTGATTTCTAACAGAATGAAAACGAAAAGAAGTCTCAGGTACATAATATTCTAAAAGAACCATAACAAAAAGTAAAAAACAAAGAGCAGATATTTGACCAATAATGAAAATTTTCATGAGTATCAAGCAAAACTATCTTACAAGGACATGGGAACGAAAGAAAAATGAACAAACATCGCTATAACCCGAAAAAATATGGAAAACAACTTCAAATTTTTTTAAAAAAGCAATATACAATGAAATAATCTGACCTTCAGTCTTCTGCAGTGTATTGTTATAATACCGATAATTGAATATGACATTTCCAGCCCGTAACCTGGAAAGTGAAAGACACAATATTCAGATAAAAGAACTCCTACTTATATCTTGGAAGTACTGTATAAGGTGGCGGAGCATTAATCTAAAGGATGCAGTCTCTATTAGGCCAAGGCTTTATGAAAAACAAAGTAAAGCCTCACCCCGAATCCTTGTCCAAAAAAGCACTTTGGGTACCGGAAATCTTCATGATGGCTCTAAAATCAATTTCCAACACCAAATATGAAATTCGAAGTTAAAAAATATACAGATCTTGCAGATCTGTGAATACTTATTTTTTGGGCGAAATGGATAGTCTAGATATTGTATTACATATATACTATTTTTAAGGCTCGAAATCCAAAAAAAAATTCACAACCATAATGGTCAAGACAGATGATTGATTTGAAGGTTTTCTGACATCAGAATTGCAAGTTTTTGCAAGTTTTGAGATGAGGCTTCACTTATTTTGATGGGGGGGCTGCAACCTTCTGAAAACATTTTCCTAATCTAAAAACCCATTGCTGGGATATGAATGGACGAAAATGACAAGCTATTTCTCCCTGTAAGATATGAGATTCAATCTCTATCTAGGGTGGGATATAACGCTCAAACCCAGAATAGATGAGATTATGGTGATAGCCAAAACCACGCAACCCCATAATTAGGAAGACCTCTAATCCACAGAAAGCAATAAAACTCCTACAGGGAGATCTCTACCCTATAAAAATTAAGTGGATTTCTAATTAGGGAAGTCCACAATTGATTTCAACCCAGTAAAATGCTGTCCAAAGGGAATATTATATATCTCCTATGAAAATAAGTTTACACTTGGGACCCTCAGGTCTATTTCATTCATCAAGCTTACCACCATGCAACCCCATAATTAGGAAGACCTCTAATCCACAGAAAGCAATTAAACTCCTAAAGGGAGATCTCTACCCTATAAAAATTAAGTGGATTTCTAATTAGGGAAGTCCACAATTGATTTCAACCCAGTAAAATGTTGTCCAAAGGGAATATTATATATATCCTATGAAAATAAGTATACACTTAGGAACCTCAGGTCTATTTCATTCATCAAATTCAAGGAGAGTATCTTTTCTTTGGCAAGTGAGTGGCAGTTTCCATATTTCAACAGCCTCACTTCTTAGGATCCTAAAGTGAGAACAAGAGTGCCAGCTTCCAACTAGAAGACGCATATAACGACACATAAATTACAATAAACATACCATAAACATATCACTTTTTTTCTGATCACGCTAGATACATTAACATAGATATACAGTTATTTATATTCATATAGAATTTCATGTAATATATGTAATAGTAAATACATCCCATATAACTATATATGTGAACTGACAAATAGCATTCAGAATTTTATTGGTCTGAACCTTAGGCACAACCACTGCATCCTTCTTGCCATTCCCACACCAAGTTTCAACCAGTTACAACTAAATCTAATCCCCCCAATGAAAGATGCTCGAAGTGTGCTATCCAAACAGACCCCTGGGAGTTTGACAGGCTCAGCCAAATTTGAAATTGGATGAGCAATGGAGGATAGGGTTCTTACATTTATATCTCCCGCAAGATGAAGAGCTTACATGAGTCCAGTAGATCTTCATACTCAACACATAATTATGCAAAAAACATTACTGCCTAAGTTCTTCATATTTACTAGGTTCTACTTTTTATTCATCGTTCCCTTAATAAATCAGGATCTTCAAAGACAGAGCCCTCAGAAATATTAAAATGTGCTTTGCAACTTATGAAAATTCACAATAAGATTGGAGAAGTAACAAATAGGGAAAATAGAGTAGAAGTTAATAGCTGGAGAACTGCTCCATGCAACATAACAACATGAATAATTGGAGATGTTCAGAACATCAGGACAAGCTAAAACAACAAGGATGACCAATTGCCTTCTCATGTTAGTTACCTTAAGGGCGGGTTTGTTTCTTTGAAAGATATCTTTTGGAAAGTTGAATGTTTTTAAATCTTCTGGATAGTTGAATGTTTTGTTATGGACGGTTTAAATAAGTTCTGGATACTGTGGTTGATAACATATACATATTAACCATAAAAATATAAATATATACCATAATATAATACATCATATAATATAATATATAATATATTTTATATATTTTATTAATATATATTTGTAAGATATTTGTATATTATGTATATAACATTTATATTATTATTTAATATATTATATATAATACTTATTTAATATAATAAATAATTTATTTATTATTATATATATAATATTAGTATTATTAATATGATATAAATATAATATATATATAATATAAATATTACATACAATATATATTTAATATAATAAACATATATTATATTCATATAAATTATTTCATATTAATAATCTATATTATACATAGTGAATAGTGATCCACAGAAGATTAGGATAAAGGTGGAGATATTTGCAATAATAGCCTAGAAGCATATACAATAAAATAATAAGAGAAAAGAGACAATTTATAGCAGAACCCACAAGACCACATTATTGGAAATGTCAAGATAGCAACTGACAAATAACACAGCTGAGAAAAAGCAAAAGAAACTGTGGATAGCGGTTGATGAATATAAAGACAAGAGACAAGTTTACTTACCGAATGATATGAGATAAGGATGAAATAGGAATATCATCATATGTGTATGAATCATAAGGAGATCTCTCCTTTGCTCCAACCTCTTGTACTGAAACATTCACTTGCACTCGCATTTGCTTTTGCAAAAGAAAATATACATTACATTTCACCACATCAAAAAATGAATCTCAAAAATCCAAGCAATATGGGTCCCATGCACAAATTCATGAACTTACCACAGTGCTTAAATTATGAATCTGAAACCTTATACAATTTTCCCCATCAAAACCACCACGCTGCAGGCAAGTAGATAACAAATGACCAATCAAGATCATATCCTTAATTACTTCACATAATAAGGAAACAAATTTCTAAACATTCATCAGTGACATCATGCTGATATCATCCTCAATTAACTTCTACCTTATTTTTATTTTAATTTTTTATTGTTCTATTTACAGACAGGGGAAGGACATTTTTGGGATTTTTAATGATGTTAAGGGTGGAGAAGTTTTTTGAAATTCATTTGATGAGTTGGGGTAGTTTGTTACTACCCCTACTCATCAGGGTTTAGGATATTGGTCATTTAAAACTTCATGTAGAAGTTACAGTAAGTTTTGTTGACTTATCATTGTAGAGAGACTTTTCTCCCTTAGAGCATCTCTAGTTTCAATTTTACTGAATCTACTGAATTTTCCAGACTATGCTCTGTTGATTCTGGTTCATCTATACTTTATGTTGCATCAATATGTTTAGATATATATAATCTTTATGGCACAAGAAAATGTTTGGAAGAAATTATCTTAAACATACCACAAATTCTTCTAAAACATTTGGGAGGAATTTCTATCAAATGTCAAACTAATTAGGTATCAACCTAATGCAGCCCAAAGTATTGCTCTTGAATATCTAGATAAGAGAGACAAGCTTAAAGTTCACAAGAGGAACCACAGATGGGCAAACTAGTCAATAAATTTGTCCTTTTATGTCTTCTATTTATTTCTTGAGTCATTTTAATAAGTAGTAATTTTTAGAGTCTTTAATGTCTTTTTATTCACTTAAATTTTTTTTTATAATAAATAGCCATGATTAGATTTGATGGATGGCCAAGATTAACTCTTGTTTAGGGTTTTCTTATGTAAGGGTTGTATCAAGGATCATGTTATGGATTTCTATTCAAAACCCTAGAGCAGCAAGTGCTCCTTCTTTTACCTCTGATTTTTCAATCTTTCTATATTTTTGGATCTTCCCTATCTTTTTCTTTGCTAAAACCCTAGCTCAAGCAACTAGGTTTGCACCACAACCATGGACTTCACTTGGGTAACCATTAAAGAGATGACTTTATTTCAAGGATTCCTGTACCACGACCATATGTCATGGAAACAGTATGATGATATAGGCATCAACATCCCATCAATGAGTTGGACAGTGATAATGTGATCGTTAGTGGAACCAATATCCAGCATCACCATCCAACCCATAGATGTGATAGTCATGGCTCCCGATGGCCATATTGCTCCTAGAGTCTTGCAACTCATACTCGTAGTATATTTTCATTTTTCCACGTCTCCAACTTATTGTTGGTCATCATCCATGTATTTTTACCAAAATCCCCATCAATAATAAACTAAGAGACTTGTCAACCTCAAACATTATCTCAAAAGAGAATACGAGATAAATAATGCAATTCACTTACCAGTGCACCATTTAGACTAAACTATGGAAGAGATGACCAAATATGCTTGACATTGATGGCAATACAAGGGAGAGTGCACGATAAAGGGACATGATTGAGTGATTGACATCAAATCTCTAGTTTGAGTGTGGAGGATTTTCTTTTTTTAGAACAAAAAGATTTTAAAAATTTGTTGTATTTTACCACACTAGGCACAATAGCATTTCAGTCATTTAACCTTGAATTTTAATAATAAATGGGTTCAAAGTTATGAATGAAAAAGAAATTTATTGCATTTTACCACACTAGGCACAATAGAATTTTAGTCATTTAACCTTAATTTTTAATGATAATTGGGCTCAAAGTTATGAATGCAAAAGATGATGCTTAAACAAGTCCCTCAAAACTTGGAGGGCACGTGAGTCAATTAGATCAAGATCAAATATTAATCGAGAACAGAAAAAGAAAAAGGAAAACTGAGACAAACAGCATAAACTAATGAAACAAACCACAACTTATTCATAAAACAAAATTATCCCAAGGGTGAGATCAATTTACTATCAATAAAAGTTTTCTTAAATGTACCTCCAAGAAACTAGAGTGCATCTCAATTGATGATTGCATCTCAGATCTATGCCCCAACCTCAAGCTTGGGGACTTCTCCCATGAAGAACTAAGAGAATCCATAGGTAGTTTTCCCCAAAGACAGTGTCCACCGAGAATAGCTGGTAAAGGAAACAAAGAACAATGATATGTCAAAACTTGGGCTCATTATGAATAATTTGAAATTTTCACAAACCATTGAAATTTTCACAAACCATTTTATAAGATACAATGATTAGGTAGGGAATGGAAAATTGTCCCATATATGACATGAAGCACAGAGGCAAATTATTCTTTTGCACTGACAATAAAATCAGGGTTGAAGTTTGTCAAAAAGCCCCAAAAAGGGCAAAAACACATATTAAATAAACAACAGAACCATCCCCAGAAATTTTGGAGCCTGCCTCGTTGAGGTCCCATTGAAGTCTTGGGAGAATATAATATTTTTATTTGGCTAAGGTGAGAATATCATTATTATGCGAATTTTTTTGTAACTGCACAATATATATAATATGAGCTTATGTAATATTGCAGATAATATATTTTACTTATACAGCATCGAACATGTAAATATACGTGTTATATTGTCCAATGTACATGTTAGGTGCAACATTTTGCCCTTAAGGGTTCTAACCTGGTTGCCAAAACAATTTTAAGGGGAAATAACTTGTAATGCCAAATGACGAACACTAAGGGCCTCTTCAAGCTGACTTGGCGGTAGTACCAACGAACCCTATGATGAAGTTTCTGACTTACCCTTTTATTTTTAAGGGCCTCTTCAAGCTCTTCAACATAAGTAGGTTGCCTCTTCTCTACGACCAAAGGCCAAAGTCGAAGTCATCAGCTTGTTTGGCTAAAGCAACATGAACCAAGCAAGTTTGGTGCATATAATTATGAATTAAGAGTAATTAGGAGTTCCTTACAAACTTTCAATACCTTTATGCTTTATTCCCCCACCCCCCCTTATTTAATTTCATAATAACCCATCCCTTATTTTTCCTCTCATGCTAGCATTAATTTACGAATGTATCATCCCATCCCTTCTCACATCTCTCCCCTTCCTTCTTTATTTTTCCCTCACTAACTGCTCCAAAGAATTATTTTTACCTCAATAATGTTGTGTGCAAAAGCTCTAAAAACCAACGGCTTACTTTTTGCAAAAAGAGAAAGAAAAAAACGCAACTGGCGACGAGCTAAAAAAAAAAAGAGAAAGAAATAAGGTAAAAAGAATACCACGATTTTACGTGGTTCACCCCAAAGGGTTACATCCACAAGCATGACAAACTAAAATACACTATACCAATGAGAGTACATCACAGATTTTGGGATACAAAAGGAACCTTACTAATTGTAGCAATACTCAGTCGAACAACCCTTGAAACCACTCTCTCGATAGACATCACCTGTCGTTCTTCCTTCTATTTGCTTCTGGTAACTATTACCAAATACATCAAATAGAGATACGAGAGCAATGAGAAACCAACTCTCACTAAAAAAGGGATACCACTCAAAATCTCAATGGAAACAACTTCTCTACAACAAACAAGCCTCTCTCATCAAGCAAAGCAAATACATACTATTTCTCTTACTCAGTGTTTTAAAATGAGGCCGTATTGCCGCATATGCGGCCGCATTAGGCGTTATGCTGGGTAGCGCATCGCAAAATGCCCGCATATGCGCTCTGGAGAGATGCGCCGTATCTCTCAACATGCGGCCGCATCCCGCATAGGGCGCATAATGCTGTCCACCAATTTTACAAAAATGAACCCCTCGGTCAAGGGTATTTAGGACTTTTTGACCCCCGAAAAAGGGGGAAAAGGTTTGGGGGGGTGTATTAACCCTCCAAACATCATTTTTCAGCCACATCTGTGGCTTTTTTTGGATCGAATGAATCAAAAAAAAAAAAATTTGGCAAAAAATTTATTTGTGAAGTTCTTCGATTTGTGTATTGGTTGATGCTTGGTTGTTGATTTGTATCTTTTGGGTGTTGATTTGAGGAAGTTTAGGCGAACTTGTGACAACAAATCAAGGGTGTCGTATTGAGTCTTCTTGAGCTTGACTTTTGAACTCTTTAATCTTCATATACTTTTAGTTTGTACTATTTTGTAACTTTAAAGTTCGTGATTGCAAATTTGTACTTATAGTTGTTGATTGTTGAATGTTTTATGAAGCTAGTTTCAAGTTTCTTGTTTCTATAAGGGGATTGTGGATACAAAATCACCAACAGCTAATATTTTTGGAGTTAATGAATAAACTAAATACCCACTATCACATATATCACCTCCATATTTTTTTTATATATTAACCTATTTTTTAAAAAAAATAGAATTTTTTATATTTATTGATCGCATTGTAGCGATGCACCCACATTTAGCCACATCGGGCCCCCCAACGCATACGGGGGCATCCCGCATTTTAAAACACTGCTCTTACTAGAAGCTCACTTATTTCTCTAGAGGCTCCTACTTTGTGCAAGGGCCTCTCTCTAAAAGAAAGTCCACCTTTCCTATAAGGTCACCCAAATAGGGTGCATTACTATTTTCGTTCCATTGTGTGTGTATATATATATATATATGGGTGCGGTTCGTATAGAGCCGAGGCTCTAAACAAACAAATTAGAGACCACCTTCAAATAGTATCGAGAAATATGATTTCAATACTAGAAAGTTTTGAGATAGCCTTAAATTAAATTTTCATCTTTAGTTATAAAATTTAAAGTTTCAAAAATAGTGTAGATTTTAGCAAATCTATGAAAACTTGAAAATCTTAAAAATTGACGGTTCAAAAATGCGTCACAAGATGCACTATTTCCAAAATTTGAAATCCATTTTTTTCTCATGTCCGTGCATCTTGATGTCGAGATGATCAATTTGATGATATTTGGACATCAAAACAACCTCTTCTAGTGAACTTTTGAGGTAGGCTCTAATTTGATTGTTTAGAGCCTAGGTTCTACATAAACTTTTCCATATATATATATATATATATATATATATATATATATATCAAGAATAGACCTTATAGTAGTCGGGCAGCTATAATGAATAGTAATTAGGTGGAATGGGAGCCATTATATCTTCATCATGTGGTTCAGAATGCATACCACTATATAACTTATAAAAAAATGCATATCACTATATGAATTTTAATATTTTTTTTAGAAATCAGATCATAATGAAATTTCCGACTTGTGTAATAAAAAATATGGCGCATAATTAAAAATATATAAAAAATATTTCTCAAAATATAAAATGATCGAAATACCCCTAAAAAATGACGGGGGTAATTTGATCATTTTAAATTATTGAAAATAATTTTTTTTATATGTTTATATGGTGCGCAATAGTGTTAGGTATATACACCCAAAAATTCATCTTCATCAGATTTATAGAAAAAAAATTAAAATTAAAATAGTGATATGTATTTTGAACCACTCGATAAAGATCTGACGGTTGGGATTCCACCTATATTACTATTCATTATAGCAGCCCAGCTATTGTTAGCTTTTGCCATATATATATATATATATGACTAAGAGTCCTGATCTAGTTAGATTTCAATGGGTGTATCCCTACTGACTTAAGAAACTTATCAATATCAATATCAATATTAATCCAAATACTATAAGCTTTCCTTACGGAGGTGATTTGGGATATCACCATATCCAACAATCTCAATCTTGGTATCAAAATCACTTGTTCATCATGCCAACATTCATCTAACAGCTTTATGGAATCTTCAGTTTTTGCTAAATAAATTTGTTGGTCATTCTTTCTAAGAAAGATTGTGCTTGCCATCAAATTTCTCTACCTTGGACTTTGCGTTCAAAACCTTATTGCCATGCCAACAACCCCAAACCAAGTTCTAATACCACTTTTTGTGTGCAAAAGCTCTAAAACTTGACGGGTTGATTTTTGACAAATAAAGATTAAGTAAAAACACAACCAACAACAAGCATGGAAACTAAAGAAGGAAAGAAATAATGTAAAAAAAACACCAGGATTTACGTGGTTCACCCCAAAAGGCTGCATCCATTTATATGGCAAATTGAAATACACTATACCAAGAAGAGTACATCACAGATTTTAGGATACAAAAGGTATCTTACTAACCGTAGACAATACCCAATAGAACAACCCTTGAAAACCACTCTCCCAACAGACATCACCAATCATCCTTTCTTCTTTTGCTTCTGGAAACTATTATTAAACACACCAAATCGAGATGCGAGAGCAACAAGAAACGAACTTTCTCTCTAGGAACGGGATACTATCCAAAATCTCCATTGGAATAGCTTCTCTACAAGAAATAAGCCTATCTCCAAGTAAGGCATGTATGTACTGTTTCTCTTACTAAAGTTCACTTCTCTCTCTAGAAGTTCCTTTAGAGGCTCCTCTTTCTTTGTGCAGGAGACTGTTGCCTCTCTCTAAAAGAAAGTCCAACTTTCCAAAAGGTGATCCAAATAGGGTACACTTATTCCTTTCCTTTCATTCCATATATAAGGTTCTAAATCCCATACTAGATAGAAATCCCGTAGATATCACATATATTCCAAACTTAAGATATAACTAAGAATCCTAATCCAGTTGGATTTCAATGTGTATCACAACTAACTTGGGAAACTTATCAATTTCAATATCAATCCCAAAAATATAGGATTTCCTTATGGAGGAAATTTGGGATATCACCATATCCAACAAATAATTCCCATTCACCATCTCTTACTTTTTTGAGGGACAAGAAAGAGAGAGGATTGGGAAAAAAATTGCATATTTTATTTGGGATAGTTATTGAGGTGAAGATAACAAAAGAAGGGGAGGGAAGTGAAAAGAGGGTGTAATTGCTATATATACTTCTTACAATCAATGCCGCAAGATGGGAAAAATGAGAGGGGTTAATATGAAATTGAATTTTTTTAGGGGCCTGTACAAAATTTTCCAAAAAAGAAGAAGAAGCATGTAATGCAATTTTTTCTTTTATACTAATCATAAACCATATTCTAAGCATATTGAGCAGTTCATAATTTTAGAGCAGGAGGACATACACCTAGTATCTCAGAATGCAACAAAAACAAGAAATTTTGTTATGCCATGCAATAGATTTTTTTTTTTTTATAGCTCATGACATGAAATAGATCAAAGACTAAGAGCCCATTTCTTTATCCAATGCACCATCTAAGATAGTTTACATGAAACAGAAGCCATATCTCGATCAACTCCCATATGAACACCATCAGCAGAATGATTAATATCTCCTGCTGAAAAATCCAACAAGTTGATGCATATTAATTTATTTATCAAATGCATATACCAATAACCATCAAGAACATATTGCAACAAATGCATACCACAAGTAACAAATATGATACTAAGATTGCCAGCTTTGGCATCAGCTGCAAGCTTTCCAATCTCCGGTAGAAGGAAATTAGCAGAAGCCACATCTCTCCTTCCAGATTCACTAAATGCAGTCAGTATACATGCCCGATTGAACCGATAAACTGCCGAATACTGCAATACAAAAATGTCAAACATTGATCAAGAAGTATCTAAACTTCTATTTTATAGAGAAGTTTATAAAGTTGTAGCTAGTGATTGCTACTCAAAAAAGGAAAAAAAAATGTGGCTAGTGATTATATATTACAAAGTCATACCCCTGTATCAACAATATTGGATATAGGCGTAGCCAACAACACATAAAGAGGAAATACATTCGGTGATTGTCCTCCATCTGTCAAAAGCCCCGTAAGGGTGCAGGTAATTTTTATTCTGAAAAATCAAGCAATAGAACAAAGTTTAGTAATTTACACCACACCAAAAGTTACAAGGCTGAAGTTTCATGAATCATAAACATGCATATGTATGCGCATATATATGCATGCATGCATGCATGCATTATGGACATGTATTGGTGGAGGGTGGATATACAAAAACAAATACACACATCCTTTTTCCTTGACCCAAGAACAAGGTTTTTCTTTCATTTATCATAACTTAATCGCCATGCTTTGGAAACATCTATTTTAAAGTCTTCTATAAAATAGATAAAGAAATAGTGACCAAAAACGAATTTAGCCCACAAGAAATTATTCCAACAAAAGAAAGAATGCAAGTGGATCATTTCGTACTATGGAAAACACTTTCCAAACATAAGCAGCCCAAATATAAAATTGCAAACAATTAGAGTGACAGCTTGGGTTAGGGAAAAACACTCGTACCGTTTTTGCCGTTTTGCTTGTATTTTGTAATGCAAGCATCGTTGGAGAAATGATGGCTGCATTAAGAGAAAAAATTCAGGTCAAGGAGTAAGTTTGATATGCCTTAAAATGCCATAAAAGGGATGAGAAATCATTAAACAACGAAAACTTTCAAAGAAAAAAAAGGGAGAAGAAAAAAAGAAAAAAGCCATTAACAAAGAAAACCCACATGACGCAATGCCCGACGTTGAAGAATATTATATAGTTCCACAGGTTTACAGTAAATGGAGAGACTTTCTTCAGCTGCTGCAGCCTCCTCTACAGATAAATGAACCCGAGAATCTTGGCGACACATTTGTTCCAAACTTCTAGAGTGCCTGCAGCTACATCCAGCACTCCTGACGTGTCACAATGATTACGAATGTGAAAAATTAAACATAACAGCCTCAAAAGAAAATAATGAACATAATATTCATAACCATTTATAAGTCTATAACGACATTGAATATCGCCTTAACAATTGCATCTGAAGTCATGACTCCCAATATGTGATGATAAACATTTGGAAAGTAATATCAACATGTGAAGAATGCCAATCACACACTGAGTGTGTGGAACAACGATTACCCTTGGTAGGGCACTAACTACAATGTGAACTCACAACAAAAAATTTCATGCCTTAACACAAAAGGCATCATAGAAGAAAAGGAAATAATAGAAATCCCAGATGTACATTACTTTAGAATATTAATTTCTATTAGAATAATCAATTACCAGAGCATTTTTTCACCCACAGCTGGAAGCCTCACATTCGCATTTACAACATTACAAGCCAATGAGTAAAATTATTAAATAAATATAAAACAACCAGATAAGCAAAAGGCTAAATCCCGAACAAAGTAAATATAAGAGGTGCAAGTAAAATAAATGAAGAGTTTAGAAGAACACAACATACGAGGCTTCACGAACCAGCAAAGGCAACCCCGGCATTCTTGTTGTGATAGGTCTGATAACACGTTAAGCTCATATCTCCTCCAAGCCTTCAAAGATTAAGTGTAATTCACCAAAATCAGAGAAAGAGGGAGAGAGAGAGAGACTTGAAAATGAACAAAAATAAGTTACTGTGGCCATTCATCCGTATCCAAAGAAATTCCATAATTTTACGTACCTTGCATAGGAAAAAAAAACTATTAATTACTCAATTACAAAATGTAAAAAGCAGATAGGATTCGTAATGCACCTTAATAGCAAACCGAACAAACAAATCACAGGAAAAAAAGTTACGACATAAAACTCACCCAATTCAACAGAAACATATATGTATCTAGAAAGCAAAAATTAGAAAGATCCCAAACATTAGGAGGACGCAATAAAGATTAATTAATTAACAACAAAAACAACTGAATGTTCAAAAATTTCTCAACCAGATCGCCTCAAAAGGTCCTAGCGCTCAAATACATTAGGTTTCACCATAAACATTACGTCTAAGCATTAAAATCACTGCTTAAATAGACCCAATTAATAAATCAACAAGAGGAATCAAGGGGTTGAGAAAAACTACGCAAATTCACAGGAAAATCAAAAACCAGATCAGACCCACTGCGTAACAAACCAAATAATCCGAATTACAGCAAGTCAATGGGTTCTAAGGTCACAGTTATTGATTTTAGAAATTTAAAGTAATTATTATTTTTGCTGTTGAGTTGAAAAAAATTAAATATTGGGTTTTTTTAAGCATAAAAATTAAGAGTTTAATGGAGAAGATTTCGTACCTTAAGCCTTGTGGGCTTTGAGCAACCGGAATGAACAGAGCGAGATTCACGAAAGAGGGAAAAGCGCAGCTTGGATTTAGCTCTTTTATATGCAGATGTAAGTTCAAAATGAGAAGGTAGGACATTTTTGCCATTTTAAAAATGATGTAATGTTATTTACAAAAAATTGAAACCTTTCGTTGCTGTCGCCGGACCAAATTGTCCATTTGATCCCTTGGGTAAAACCCGGATTAGGAGTATTTTTTAGGGCCCAAATTTTGGAGATATGTTCTTTGAACCTAGACAAAAACCTCCAAAAAAAAGAAAAAAAAAAAAAGGTAAAGAAAAAGAAGGATTCGAAATTCACTTTTGTTTAAATAACCATTGGTGATTCTTATGTGGACGTTGAAGTTTTAAATAACCACGACGTTTCTATAAGGCCTAGATTTTATGAAAATAAAATAAAGACTCACTTCAAATCTTAGTCCGGAAAGTACTTTCTACAATAGAAATATTTGAGATGGCTCTAATGTTAATTTTCAATACTGACAATAAAATTTGAAACTCAATAAATGTTACCGGTCTTGGAGATTTGTGAACACTTATTTTTTATGCAAAATGGACGGTCTTGATAATTTGTTACAATAAACACTGTTTTTAGAGCTTGAAATTCCTTTTTTCTTTTCACGAACATAATGCTCAAGTTGAGACGATCATTTAGAGGTTTTTTACTTGCATATTTTGATGAGTTATGAAGTGAGAATTTACTTATTTTGGTAGGGCTATAGCCATATCAAACTATTCTCCTTAGATAAAAGAAAAAAAAAAATTCAAATAAATCTCTTTCCCGAGGTAGTTAGTAGTATCCAGTATGCTCCCACAAGAACTTCTTCTTCTTCTTCCTCCTTTTTTTTTTTTTTTTTTTTTTTGGCCTTTTTTAGGTGTCTCTTTAGAGGAGGCAAAGGATTTTGAGACTTTAATAGTAATTTGGATATTTCATATAGAAAAAAATTTATATAAGATTGCAACCTTAAAATATAGAATTATAGATGCACCTCAAAACTCCATCGAAAAATGTTCTTTTAAGGTTGAAAAAACCTCTAATTGATTATCTCAACATCGAGATGTATGAATATAAAAAGAAAAAACAAAATAGTCCCAGAAATAGTGCAACTTGCAATACATTATCTAGACCGTCCCTTTTCAATATTTTCATATATTCATAGATCTACTTGATTTTAACTATTTTTTAAGTTTAAAAATTTATAATTAGATATGAAAATAGATTTTGAGATAATCTTAAGAATCTTTTTCACTAAAATTACATATTATGATAAAATTTGAAGATGCGCCTTAATTGGATTGTTTAAGATTGCAACCTTGTAGGAACCACGCCCTTTCATATATGGATAAATTATAAGGATGATAACTTACACCATAGCATAAGGCCAAAGATCTTGTCCAAGGAGAGGAAGTCATTTGGGCAATTGAGGATGGCATAGTTCGCCAAGTCTGTATATTTTTATATTTTTATTTTCTTATATTTTTTTTATTTAATTTGGAGAGCATAGGCACTAAAAATTGGGCTTCATCTCAATCCTATTTTTATGAGAAAAATATTCATGTAATGATGATCTTAAATGAATACTTCAATTTTTATGAATACTTCGATTTTGGCCGTTGTTGGATTTATATTGATTAATAGGTAGATAAATCATTTTTCCTAAAGAAAAATAAAATTTATCAAAATACATCGGATTTTGCAACTATTTAATATTTACCCTTTATCCAACTATTCTAAGTCAAGATCAAGTGTATTTTGATATGCTTTTGAGATTTAGTTAAAGGGAAAAGCAATGATCCAATGCAACGGTTGTATCATAGTATAATGCAACAACACTTTTAAAAAACTATGTTTGTGGTATTTGTATGGCCTCAAATTTTGCACACACGCTTTTTTCATCTCAATAATCAATCTCCCCAACAAAAAAAGTTCAATTTGAACCCTAGATATGGTCAAAATGAGTCCCCTCCAAAATCGAATCTAAACCATTCATTTTGTGAATTTCAATATCTTAGCCTTTATAAACTCAAAATCAATTTTTTGCTTTTTTTTTAGCATTGTTCATCTGATGATAATAAAGCCATCCAAAAAAAATTGAAAATGAAAAAATCCTTCTAAGGCCTAGATCTAAGCATCTCACCAAAAT